GATTGTAGATCACCATTGTAGCGAGTGCGAGTAAGAAAACACCTTTGAGGTTACGGCTTCAGAGGAAAAAGTGACGAAACGGCTCAACAAAACTTTATATAAAGCTAGGGTTTCTTCGTTAGGGTTGTGATCTGATTTATAGGCCCATGGGCCTTTAAATTTACCAAGCCTCTTTTCACCTCGGCCTTTACGATTTACAGGCCCATAAGTATTTTCTTTTGATATAAAGTAGAATTAGCGAAATTCAGAAACCATTTTAGGTTTTTAAATACCAAAAAAAAAAAAAACTTCGAGAATTCGAATTAGAGGTCGTATACACGCACAACTTTTAAATAGTTCGAGAATTCTTCACTAACCAAAGATCCATTTGATTTAGATTTGTTTTTTTGAAGCATATAATTTTTTTTTTATTTTATAATGTAAAATTATATTCAACAAAAAGACTACTTTATAAAAGACTTGCAATGTTTTTGAAGTGTTTGATGTGTGTGTTTAGAAGCATAATTCATACGTTTTGAAAAGGAATTTCAGTTTTCTTGATAGAATTTATATTTCTTGCATGTGGTTTGAATCTCAAATTTCAAGAATGAAGTCGTGATCGAATATACTTGGGGAACAATTTTTTTCCATAAATGTGGGTTTGTCTTCCAAGTATCAAATAAATGCTTTTTCCACTTCGGTTTTATATTTTTTGTTTTTCCATTTTTCCCCATCTTTTTCCTTTTTACACAAAACTTGTGTGTGTACACACATATAAATTCATGCAAATCGATTAGTTCCATTGTTTATAATCAAGAAAGCTCACGAGAGATCGTCAAAATTAGAAGCTTCGATTTCAATCATAAAACCATCTTCTTTGTTCAAGAATCAAGAAAACCATATGGTACGTTTTGTTACTCTTGTTTGATATGTACACTTTTTGTTTTTGTTTTGTTTCAAACATTGATCAAGTTTGTTTGTTGTTTTGATTTTCTGTGTTCGTTTAGGTGATTGTGCCATTGCTAAGTCCAGGAGTGAAACTAGTCTCTGCGGTGGCGACTAAACCGGTCGCCTCCGTCTCCGTCTTGCTATTCTACGGAGATGTTCTTCCCCGGAATCTTCAACTAGAAAGATTAACCGGTCGAGAATTTACAATTGATGGCAATGATTATCTAGTCCGGTTTATTGTATCTTTCTTAAGATGTTTCTGTTAGTTTTTTTTTCCTTTCTTTATGTAACGGTAAAGATTAAGGCAATTTAGCATTTTTTTGTAGTTTTATAAGGGAAACAAATACAGCTTCATTGTACAAGAAACAACAAAATAGTTTTGGTTAATTAGGAATTCAATAATTAAGATTTAAAAAAATGTGTCCAA